GGCCCATGGGGTCTGGGGACATAATTACACAGCTTTGCAAAGTGGTGGGCGTTGTGAAAGTGTATTTTTCCAACCAACTCCGTAGAATTCGGAACATGATTCTGACGTTTGACCTGAATAAGAGACCAGGAGTGATCATTACTTTCCATTACTCAGGCTCAATCAAAGGCTCCGTCCAACAAACCCTAATCCACCACATTCCAAATGTTGCATATAAATGAGACATTAGCCGCGTTCACACCAAGTACTTTGCCGTATTTAGTGCCGGCACTCAGAGCCCCGGCACTTATGACCCCAGGGCATTTAGTACAGATCGCGTTCACACCGGAGTACTTTTCCCTGAGGGAAGATTACGCAAATGAGCCGCTGACGTCACTTCGTCTTCTTCTGCTTTGGGTTTACTGGCAGGCAGCAAACAACTTCACGGCGTATACTGCCACCCGGAGTCCCCGGCCGGAAGTCCCCGGAGTTGGGGACTGGCTTCAGTAGAAGCTGCTGGGACTCCCAGCAGCTTCTACTGAAGCCTTCCGAGTAAATCGCCAGAACGCCGACACCTCCTCATCTCCACCGCTCCCATAGCCGCGTTCACACCGGAGTACTTTCACCGTACTTTTCGCGTTTTAGTTCCGTGAGTCGCGTTCACACCAAAAATCGTACTTAATCTCGGGTACTTTTACCCCCATTTTTAGAGCCAACTCAGAGAGCGTACTTTTCTGTGGGTGAAAAGTTCTCCAAAAGTGCCCCAGTGCTGATTGGCTGGGCGAATTGCAAACCACGCCCGTACAACTCTGAAAATGTTGTGTAGAGCCGCCATTGTTTTTCCTCGCTACAAAAACACAACGCTCCGTGCGTTGTGTTTGTTTTTGAAAGCAGTTATGGCAAGCATCAAGAAATGATGAGGAGGTGTCGGCGCTTCTGGAGATCTACGCCGAGGACGCGACCCAAGGAATGCTACTGAAGCCAGTTCGGTAGCTTTCACTCGACCTGGGAATTGTGCACAGCCGGCTAAATATAAAGAAACTCAGGACTACAAACGGCGGATTCAGTGGCCAACGATGACTACCACGATGAAGGTAAAATCAACTACATGCACTGGGGTTTTAATCTGCACAATAATGGTCTCAGATGTACTTTTATTTGCTCAGTAGATCAAGCTAGCCATGCTAGCCATAATAGGCTAACACCGGCCCCGGCTAGCTACATCTAGCTAGCTAGATATTCTCCGCTGTATGAAAACGTTTTGACTTGTGAATAACTGTGCAGTGTTTCTGTAATTTGCTTCACTAACTCATGGCACTAATCGTCTGTTTCAGGCGAGGATGGACAACTCTCGGGATTGGAAACAAGTGAGCTTTGCATTCTAGATCACAGCGCTTTGTCGTCCTCCTTACCAGCAACCAAACGCAAAGGTACACACACTGTAACTTTGTCTTGAAAGAACGTTACGCATCGAACTGATGTTCACAATCATGTTTATTTCATAATATTCATCATATTTTATGTTTAACTTGCCTCAACAACATTAAACAAAGTTCAAGCATACATGAAGCACTCTTCAAAAAGGAACAATCCTCCGTGTTTGAACCTCTTGAATCGCTGCATAGCCGATTTATTTGGACTGGATTATCCCAGAGAGGCCAAACATTCTTTATAACACAGTTTCAGATTTGTGAAACCTTAATTATATTTGTGAAAATACAAAAAAGGGAGATTTCAGTGCTTTTTTTACATGTAGACCACATTAGACCAGGTCCTGATCTAAAACCACTATACCTAGACTCATCAAATCTGGACTGGATTATCCCAGAGAGTCAAAAGATTCTTTATAACACAGTTTCAGATTTGTGAAACCTTAATTCTATTTGTGAAAATACAAAAAACACATTCCTAGTATGTTGTAAAACTACATGGCGACTAAGATCTTGTATATTGCTTATTTTCCCCTCTTAGGAAAGCGGACACGGGATGCGAATTTCTTTGACACCGCCCAGGCGTTGGAGGACCGGCGTGCCGTGGTGAATGAGTCGCTGCGTGGAGATCAGATGGTGCTGTTCACCAAGGCCCAGGAAACGGAGGACAAGATGCTCACCTCGATGGAGCGCCAGGCAGAAGTGTTCAAGCAGCAGATGGAGCGCCAGCAGCACCAGGATGAAGTGTGGGCGCTGCGCCATGAGGAAGCGTCGGCGCAGCGGCAGGATGAGCGACAAACTGCATTTAATAACAGTTTATTTGGTATAGTTTTTGTAAATACTGACACACGACACACAACGTTGCACTAAGGTGTGCATGCTGCTGAGAATATCCCTACACCTGGGACAGTTTATTTTATATTGTTATTACTGTTATGACTTTATTTTATATATAATGTTTACTGACATGTACAACTGACACTTTATTTACATTTAAAATTGTTCTATTTAATGTTATGTCTTGAGAGTGCAATAAAGAAAACCGACATGGCGATTAAGCTTATTTCTCCTGACACTTTATCTTTTGTGACCTGTGTAGCATCCTATACATCACATGTAAGTGATTATTCTGATACCATCATGTTTCATCGGTTATAAACTGGCAAAGCTTTATTTGTCATTTATTTATCATCAATGTTGCAACCTTGTGGGGGAATGGCAGGGGCACATACACAAATATGATAATTTATATAATTTTAAATATTATTTGACCTAAACTTTTAATTCCCCCCCATTTCACACAACACAACATGGAGTCCACTATGGGCCAAAACTAACATGTATGTTTGCATAGTGTTTATGGCAGACGGATGCAGTGGGTCTCAGGAAGATATATAATAAAGGTGGGTTTGCTGCTGAGACTCCCTACAGCTGGGAGTTTATTTTATATTGTTATTACTGTTATTATATAGTACAACTGACACTTTATTTTATATTGACAATGTTTACTGACATGTACAACTGACACTTTAGTTACATTTAGAATATTTCTATTTAATGTTATGTCTTGAGAGTGCAATAAAGAAAACCGACATGGCGATTAAACAGATCCTGTATCAGTTTTTCTTCTTCTCTTGTTTTGTAGCGGGTTGCAAACAACTTTAAGGTGCTTACCGCCACCTACTGTACTTGTAATCTTCCCTCAGGGAAAAGTACTCCGGTGTGAACGCGATCTGTACTAAGTACCCTGGGGTTAAAAGCGCCAGGGCTCTTAGTGCCGGAACTAAGTACAGGAAAGTACTTGGTGTGAACGCGGCTCATGTTTTGTTTTGTGTTGCCATAAGTTAGTCTCTCTGCGTTTGTGCTCTGTCAAATGCTAATGCTAATAATGGCGGCTCTACAAAACATTTCAGAGTTGTACGAGGCGTGGTTTGCAATTCGCCCAGCCAACCAGAACTGGGGCACTTTTTTCCCCCAGGAAAGTACGATCTCTCAGCAGGCACTACAAATGGGGGTAAAAGTTCCCGAGATGAAGTGCTCTTTTTGGTGTGAACGCGACATAAGGGGTACTAACGGAACTAAACGCGAAAAATACGGTGAAAAGTACTCCGGTGTGAACGCGGCTATTGTGGTTAAATAAGTGGCCAGTCTATGCATCAGTATGGATACCAGAGCTCAGATAATTGCCTTCAGTTCTCAAGAAGTGCCTTTCTCACAGGAAACCCATCAAATCAAATCAAATCAAATCAAATCAAATCAAATCAAGGTTTATTTATAAAGCACATTTAAAAGCGATTTTTGGTCGGGCCAAAGTGCTGTACATGTAATAACTACAATCACATAAAAACACATTTCTATAATCACAATAAAAGACAATAAATTACAACAGATATTTAAAAGAAAACACAGGGAAAAGTCAGGAGTCGTGCTCCGCTCTGACTAAAAGGCCAGGGAGAAGAAGTGTGTCTTAAGAGTAGATTTAAAAACCACCTTCATACTCCCTTTAACTTTAAAGACACCCTGTTGATTACCACTGATTTTATACCAGTCAACTCACCCTGCAGTGAATATCAGGATGTCTTCATACATCTTAGCCTTCTGACAGGCCTCTGCTGCCTTTAAGTAATTCATTTTAACAAAAACCAAGCAGCCTTTTATCTATATTGTAATTGCTTAGGTTACACAACTGTGGCTGTCCCCACTGGCTAGATAGGCATATTGATAAGATAATCAAATAATTACAAGTCTAACAACAGTGTGGCCTAATTCATCTTTAAAAGTGTTTTTTAATCGTACCCTCAACCAAGTAAAAAACAGATACTCCTGACCAATGCGATGTCTTAATTTGGATACTCTCCTTTGTCGTAAACGGTGAACACTTTGGCAGTGTATGAATATTCACTGCGTAGCGTCGTCTGAAACCACACACAGATGCTGTGCCCTAAACCGAAAGTAACAGTAATTACTGTAAGCCAATAATATTAACAATGGTTTGTTTTGGAGCATAGTATAGCAGTGCATTTATTTAAACAAATAGAAGACCCACATGTATTTGTATAGTGCTTTATACACTGGAATAACCAAAATCATGGCCGGTCACTCCACTTCCGTTATGTAGCCAGTAGATGTTTTACTGCTGTGAGAACACTATAAGAATGTAGTCATCCGAAATGGCTAACCTGTAGCATGGTTGTCTGGTTTTCTACTAAGTTTTTACTTTGTGTGATAGTTAGTATCACAATATGTTCTATTGTGATATTTTATAGTATATTGTTAGGCTGAAGTAACGACTCAATTCACACAGTAACATTCAGTAAACCGACTTACCGATCTAGTAGCAGTTAAGTCTAGTGATCTGTGAGGTAAAATACAGTTTTTGTACATAGTTTGGTGGCCTTGAAGAGAGGTAACATTGTTTTCAGGTGAATTCTAACAAATAATGTTTAGTTTTAGTTGACAGTTGAATACAAAACAAAACAGCACATCAAATAGTTTTTGAAAACATTAAACATTTATATTCAGTTATCAGGGTAGTGGGAATGGAGGAAAATAAAGGAAAGAGGGAAATGAAAGAGAAGATAAAAACAAATAGCACAGAGAAAAACAGCCTTTATCACATAAACAGACAAGATAATGCATGTACAATAACGATCATCTTTTAACAACAAGAAAGGCATTCAATGCACTAACAAACACACATGCACAAAGCACACACTTTTAAGAAGCCACCAAATGAAGCCCTTCACAGAAGTCACAATAGTTGATTGTCAAAAAAAGTTGTCATTTAAATGCTGCATTATTGTTGCATTTGATGGGCCATATAAACTGTTATCCTATTTTGTTGTGTCCTTGCTTACAAGCAGTAAACATAGCAAGTGAATCCACAGATGTAAGCAGATCAAGGTAATAGAAAACACAAATAAAAAATATTTTCGGCATACAATTTAGTTACATGCGAAGCTGTAGAAAGGATGTTTATCTTCAGAAATGTGGGCTGACATTCCAAGCACGCACATTGGGACACCATGACACTTAATTTTTCCAAAGCAAAAATTCATTGGGATGCATCATGACGGAAACTGTGATCAGCTGGAATTGTAGTTAAGGCAACCAGAGAGTAAGAAACTCCTGTAGATGGCTGTAGATTAAATTGTATATGTCGCTTTGTGCAGAAAATGAAACCACTATGATTCAATTCACTGAACATTTGATGGCAAAAACGAAGGTTTATCACGTCTACACATTCCAGAAGATTACCTTTCTCCTGCAGCTGTCATGCTGCTGCCCTTTTATTTATTTAAAAAACAACATCAACCTTTTTTTACAACTGTTTTCCCAATATATATATATATTGTTTCAATGTTTGTTTCTAAAGTGTTTGTGTGTTCTTTTGAAATACATTTCCATAACTTTAGACCACTATAAATCATGCAAAAGCATGTTTTCTATTATTGACAACAGAAAGCATAGCCCTCCCTGAGAGCTCCTGAACATGATTGACGATTGTCTTCGGTGAGAGGGTCAAAGTAGCAACCCTTTCATTTTAGATGTGCTTTGTTTGTCAAGTTACAATTCACCTTGTGGCACCTCACACTCCCACAAATATATCCATATAGAAACAATCTCCATCAGCGATCAACAAAATCCAACAAGGCTAAAATGTCAACGTAGAGTCGAGATTGCGGAGTTAAACAGATATTTTTAACGTTTCCTCTTCTGTGTCAAACGATCAGTCAGCTGATATTTTCTATTTTTGAACCAAGTATACATTTTTCATAAGAAAGCTCGATACATTATTCCATATCATTTACATTCAGTCAAAGTTTGTTTGTCTTTGATAACCCTCTTTATAGTTTGAGTGACATGGATTGGGTTGCTCTCCAAACAAATGCACTACAAACTGTTTCCTCAGTGTATGCCACTTTTTTTGACGAATGCTACAGTGTTTCCTCCTCATCCTCAGCTGTCGCAGTCGTAATAACAACAGGCAGATTTTCCTTCAGCGAGATATCGTCCACCTGCTTGGGTCCGCTGTCCTCCGGTTCTTCAGGTATGGATGGGTCCGAGTTACTGATCACGTATCCGGGGAGGGTGGCGTGCATGCCGATCACAGCGGGATCCGTGCTCCGATAAACACGGCTTGAAACCAGCGTGGTGGAGCGTGTGGAAAGTCCCGCCCCCGCCAGGTGGGAGTGGCTGCTGGTGCTGTTGTTGTTGATGCCGACAACTACAGAGCCGTAACGATAGCGACCGCAGACCACCGGGCCCTCCCACTCAAAGGCAAGGTTCCAGCGTGTCCATGTTTTCTTTATTTCTGCCTGGACCTGTGGGATGGGAAGAAGAACAACTATAAATATCACAAATGGTATTGCAAATGATCTATAGAATACTAGAATGTATATGATAGAGCATTATACAGTATGTTGTCATAAACTGGAGCAAGGGTCATATCATGGTTTTTCATCTGTCTGTGCTTATTAGCTTTTATTTGTGCTCATGTATGTGATTTTGTGTCTGTTAATGGGTTTGTAGGCAAGGGCTTTTAACTGGGCATATGTACTTTATATGTGCTGTGAGTCAATTGTTCTTATGTGTTTTTATTCTGCTCATGTGCTTTTGCCTGTGCTTTCTGTTCTTATCTGCTCTTGTCGATAGACCGTTATTCCTAAACCCCAAAAACACGAAAATTCTCAATTATTTAATTTGTTTTACGTTTTCTTTGGTGCAATGTAATCCTTTTTGTTCCACTGCTGTTTCCTTTGTAGTTTAATTTTAGTTAATTGTGATTTTGTCTGTGATTGCACAGTGATTTTGTCTTAGTTTGTGAAGGACTTCACAAACTAAGACAAAAAAGTAGTTTTGGTGCTATATAAATAAAGTCGTGATTAAAATGAAGTCTTAAATCACTTGCCTTCTAGGTCTTTCCCAACAATTGCAATGTTTTGAACTTGTGTTTGTCTTCACACAGAACCATATGTATACAAACGCCACCATTCATATTATAGCAGGTAGCAAACACTAGCTTGATCTTTTTTGCTGGACACAGCTGCCTACTGTTATTTATCCGCAGGTTTATGAAATGCTAAGTTTGAACTGTACCCTCTGCATGGGCTGAATGACTAAAACAATCCATTAACAGAGTAGAGTTGCAGAGTAGGGTGTTATTTGTCAGTATAAGCTGAGACCATTTCACATTACATGAGTCATTTGGTCCAGTGATAATAACAAAATGATAGTTTATGGAGCTCAAAACAAAAAAAATCTGTTCCATTTTGAATAAAAAACAGAGGGTTTACCAAAGTGCTTCACAATGAACATAACATTATAATAAAATATAATATTACAAGAATAGATAAAAGGCATGCATAAGAATAGATAAAAGGCACACATAAGAATAGATAAAAGGCACACATAAGAATAGATAAATATAATAAAAAACTGAAGTTTAATACAAATTGTTTCAGATAGTGGAGCGAGATCAAATGAAAAGAGCTGTCATATTCTCTAAGGCAAGAACTTGGAAGTATGAAAAAGGAAAAGAAGCTAATGGCACACTACATTTCAGCCAGAAGCTCAATTATGCGTGTCACTTATGTAATTATACCCTTTTTGAATGGCTACGTTTTATTTAAACTAAAGTGTAATTAAAGCACTTAATTCGCTTTAGTTTCTCAGTATTTTGGGTTTTAATTTGTGAGCAGATGCATTTGGAAAAAATCGATTCACTCACCTCTCCGTTGCAGTAGCAATATATAATGGACACAAAGAAACCCTGAAAGGGAGAGATTGAATTACAAGTTGGGAGCTCAGATGTCAGTGGAAGCAAGTGAGAAGAAATGTCACATACAGATTATCACTACAGTTGACCAAATGTCATTCTTACAATTCACTATCTATTATCCATCAAAGATGATAAGTAAGGTAAAGGGCACCAACTATGTATTCGCTTCAAACAGTGCTTATCTTATTTTTAAAAAAAGAAGACAGAAATGTTAGCTCCTTTGGCTGTGGCTGTTTTGACCTGTTTCACCTTGTGTTCCTGCCTCCAAGCACGATAAGAAGTTAAAGGAGAGAAATGGTGTCTTTGTGACAATGATGGGTTATGGGAAGGTGTGTGCCCATGTATGTGAGGTTTTACTTTGGTGTGTAACTGACTTGCTGAACGTCATTGCTGGTGAGAGGCAATCAGGCAGTGGCTTTCTGAGAACTTAAATCAACACAGTGAACGAAAATGCATCTTAATAATAAGAATATTGCTGTTGCTTGATCCTCATTTAAAGCTCACCTATTATACTATATTTGAACAATATATTATAGGGCCGTATCTATACAAAACACGTCTCTGAAGTGTTTTGCTCAAATTACCAAACAGATCACCCATTGTGGCCATGCCTCATACCCCTCTATTTCAGCTCTGTTACGAAAGTGCTGATTCTGGGTCTGGCCTTTTAAATGTAACCCGACCTGCTGCTGGCCACGCCCCTTTCCGCATGCAAGCAGTGAGCTATGTGAAGAGAAGGCTGTTTAACGGCAGAAACTCAGCTAAACGCTGTGGTGATTAAACGCCATATTATGTTCCAAACCACATCAAGCATTATTTCTGAAACAGTATGGAGCTCAAACGCATAATAGGTGACCTTTAAGTTTACAACTAGTCAGAAAATGTAATTTGTTTCTAGTAAGTTCTATTACAATTTAATATATATATAGAACAAACAAATATTAATGTGGAAAAAGTTATTGAAAAATAGGTTCTTTATCAAAGTATGTTTAACAACATAAAAAGTAAGTAGAAAAAGACTGAAACCCTGCATCTATTTATATTACTTTATTATACAGCTTTGTTGAATACTTGATACTCATTCGTCAATTGGAAATTCTACTAAGGTAAAGCAGACTGTTGCTATGGACTCTCGGATCACGGATCATATGCAGTCTTAACAATCTGCAGGAAGAAAGTTCGGTCAAAGTTTAACATCAGCTGTGTCCAAAAAAACACATACATTTATTGTAACTCCATCAGAAAACACTGGAATAATTTAGAATATTGAGACCATGAAAAAAGAGAGTCATTATGAAGGAGATTCATTGGAAAGGAAACCACTTTCCTCCATTCCTCTCGCTATAATGACCCTTAATATACTCTCGAGAAAAAGCCATTGGGTCCAGGCTGCATTTGTGAGTACAACCTGAAAGATACGTATATATCAAAAACCTAAAACATGAAGGCTGTAACATAAATTGCTGACTTAACCTTAAACCAAGATTCAACCCTTTTGATTTATGTTGCGGGAACTTGCATTTTTCTCCTAAAAAGCAAGATGGTCCCCACATTGTGACTGTGTTTAACAAGCCCATGTCCCCATAACATCAGTTAAACAAGTGTACACACACATCTTGGTTTGAACAATTTTTTGATAATTTAGGGATCTACAATTCTTATGGCCCATGAGTGCTATGATTAAAAAAATCAGTTTGTCACACTGAAATTGTTAATGCCAGGTGTCAAAGTACAGGAATTTCAATTGCAGAAATAGAAATATTGCAATTCTGAAAGAACTGAGCATCCATGAATGGTGGCTTTTTTTAGCTGAGGCTTGGAAGAAAAAGATAGGCTTGTGTCACTAATGTATGCACACATAAAAAAAATTGTTTTGATGAGATTTCAAAAGCTTATCAGAGAGAACACACTGCCGACTTCCCAACTCTGATGGGAAATGATTTGAAGCTTCCCAAAGGCCAACTTTTTTGTGTAAATGGGGAAATGTGTTACTGTGCTGGCATCATGACATAATTCTACCAGCACTGTGTCGGTATCATATCACGTTGCCAACAGCAGCTCACAATGTCCAGATTTCCCCAGAGGGGGCACCATGCCAAAAGGAAGCTCAGTTTGTTTGACTGCACAAACACATTCGAGGAAACATCTCTTGTGACACTGAACAAGCAGGTGCGATGTTCACACATGCACCAATGGTGTGTGAATGTGTCTGAATGTTAGCTTCCCTGAGCAATTGGCATCTTGTATGAATGGGTGTGAATGATGAATGTATAGCGGTGTGAGGGGTCGGAAACACCTGAAAAGCACTATATAAAATGCAATCCATTTACTTTTTAAACAGGACTAGACCCACTGTTACCTCTGTGATGGACTTCAACCCCTCACTACAAGCCTTGCACAGCTCGATATCACTGTTTCCCCATGGTATTGACTGCTGAGCAAATAAAATGTAAAGAGTATGAGGTGCTTAAAACTCACTGATTTAAAGTCAATGTATCCCGTGGCATTAAAGGAGTCATATTAAAGGTGGGGTAGGTAAGTTTGAGAAACCGGCTCGAGATACACTTTTTGTTATATTCCATGGAATGCTCTTAACATCCCGATAGCAATGAATATCTTAAGTGCTTTGACAAAAAATCCATAAAAAAATGTCATCTGTGGAAGCCGTAATACTGTAAAAAGTACGACCAATCATTTTACCCGGCCCGGCTAAAATAACTGGATGGCCTACCTGCCTGTCAGCCTTCCATCTGTGCACAAACTTATCTCGTGCCCTCATTGGTCATGTGCGCGTTCGTGTGTGTTGGAGGAGGGGCTCTATAAGGAAGTGGCAGATTTTCTCCGGTTGTGTATTTTCAAATTCTAGCGATCTCGAGCCGGTTTCTCAAACTTACTACCTTTAAGGTTGGTTTGTGCTTCTTTTTTTTTTTTTGCACAATTTGAATTAACAAATTACATAATATACAGTATAGCAAAAGGCATAAAAAAACACTGAGCATAATTGAAGACTCCAGCTAAATAATGTTAGAATTCACAATCTTATTGAAAATACAAGATCAATACACAAATGAATATGGTTTCATTAGTGATGGAATTTAATAATTGGGAAATATGCATCAAGACAGTCAGACAATGAATTACTACTTAAGCCACAGCTGCCGAAGAGACGGCAGGCTACACTGGACGAGTGGTGTAAAACTCTGAATATTCTGAGTCATAGAAATACTATTAGCCGCATCCCTCTGGAGAAGAGTATAACATTTGAGAATTTGTCCTTACAATTCAATCTGGCTTCGTAAATGTAGCAACATGAGCTACAACATAGTCGGTCATTGTTGTTATACTAAACTAGATCTTTGGAACCAAACAAAATTAAAATAATTTGAATGTAATCAAGTATTGTCCAATGCAGAAACAAAAGTAGTAGCATCGTCTTTGTGCTCCTCTCCAACTTTTCCCATTTTCGTATTTTGTACATATTTCTTTTACTTTTGCCGTTTTACTTTTAACATGGTTCGCAACATGCTAGCCGACCGCACCTACTCTGCCATACAATATAGCAGAGAGGAACTTTTCCAATTGCGAAACTTCGTGGACAATATTAACCCTCCGACAAACAATGGAGATTCACCATGGCTACCTGTTGCTGTTCTACCTGAGAGACGCAAGAAGAAGACAAAGCGGGGATGCCGGGCCGGGTTGCTGGTCAGACTGAGAAAACGAGAAAATCGGCCCCCTCTTCCGAGTATTCTTCTGGCTAATGTTCAATCCATTGAAAATAAGCTAGATGAACTCAGAAGCCGGATTGCTTTTCAACGGGACATTAAGAACTGTAACGTGTTAATTCTCACTGAGACTTGGCTCAACCCCGCTATCCCGGACTCCGCTATTGTCCCTGACGGATTCTCTATTTTTCGTCAGGACCGGACTGCTAACTCGGGGAAAAGTAAGGGAGGCGGTGTGTGTGTAATGACTAACAACAACTGGTGCTCAGATGTGAAGATTATTTCATCGGACTGTTCCGCACAGCTAGAGCACCTCATGATCTCATGTCGGGCCTTCCATCTGCCGAGGGAATTCACATCTGTTGTGATAACAGCAGTATATATCCCGCCGCAGCCACTCGCCGACAACAACACGGCACTCGATCAGCTGTTTGGGTTTATTGATAAAACCGAGACTTCACGGCCAGATGCGGCGTTCGTTGTGGCCGGAGATTTCAACACCGCCAACATGAAGAAGGTTTTGCCAAAATATTACCAACACATCAACTTCCCGACGCGCGGGGGAAACATACTGGACCATGTTTATTCCCCTTTCCGGAATGGATATAAGGCTCTCCCTCGCCCTCCCTTCGGCAAATCAGACCATATCTCACTACTGTTGTTGCCTGCTTACAAGCAGAAACTTAAAAGGGACAGACCGATAACAAGGACAGTACAACGATGGAGCGAGGAGTCAGATTCAGCACTGCAGGATTGCTTTGCATCTACGGATTGGAGTGTGTTTGAGGACAATAACATCAACACACACACGGACACTGTCATCTGCTACATTGGGAAATGCATCGATGACGTGGCACCGAAGGTTTCTGTACGGACATTCCCAAATCAAAAGCCCTGGGTAAACGGTGAGGTGCACGGCAAACTGAAAGCGCGCACTCTCGCGCACACAGCGGGAGATTTGGAGGAGTACAGGAAGTCTAGGTATGATCTCCGGAGAGCAATTCAAAATGCAAAGAGACAGTACAAAGACAAGGTGGAATCTGACTTCAAAGGCTGTAACACTAGGAATATGTGGGCGGGACTAAGGACAATGACTGACTACAAAGGAGCAGCGGGGGGTGCTGCGGGAGTGTCTGCGTGCGCATCTCTCCCAGATGAGCTAAACAGTTTTTTTGCACGCTTTGAGAGCAGCCAGGCTGTGGAGGTACAGAGGGACCAGGAGCTACACTGCCCTTTTGTTTTAAATAGGGCAGATGTGTGTAAATC